TTACAGGTTTATTAAAGAAGCTTATAAATCATATGGTTACAATGGCTATTGCTCTATTTCTTAACTGCTAGCAAATATAGATCTTAAAAATGGTTAACAAGAAAATAAAGATAGAAAATAGAAATAATGGTACCAAGTGACAGCTTAATCTTTAAAGAGCTCTAAGTCTATGTGTACACTTAAGACAAAGGACACATCCAGGTACAATTTTTACCCCCTTCTGTGCTTCTTGACTCCAGCATATCAGGCCAGGACCAGTCCCTCAATTTCTAGGAAAGACAAATACGAGGTGGGTGTCCCCATGGAACCTTGGGAGGCCAATCACCTAACCTGACCAGCAGATAGATGGTAGATTGATGCTCAGAGTGAGTGTGCTTCTGGACCCATCTTTACACCAATAGAGGCCTGTATCCTCTTTCTTATCTAAGATGCCAAATTGTGTTGGTCCGTCTTTGTGACGCCAGTTCTTACAAGGGAGTTTCAAGTTAATTTACACTTGCAAGAGAGATAACTAAATTGTGAGTACTGGACATTCTTTACTGGGCGGGAGATTCCTTCCCCCGCAGACGAATGTGTGTTTGTATCAATATAGGTGCCAGCCAAGGCAGTTCTTGCAGCCTCGGGGACAACAATTGGCGTATCTCTGTTTACAGCCATCCAGGGACACAGCAGCCAGCATATCCGGGCCTTCTGTCAAGGCTTTAAAGACTATGTTGATCTTACTGCTCTGTGTGCCCTGTATACTCCAGGCAAGCAAAAATGGATGTTACAGGGGGGGTTCCTATCTGGCTACACCAACCCGCAGCTCACAAGCTGTATGCAGCACTTTGATTAGAAAATTGCAGCTCCTGATGATACCGCTCAGGCTGGTGGCTCTGCAAAAGGCTGCTCACACCTTGGCCACTCTGAATTGTGTTCCAACGTGTGCTCGCAGCCTGCCACTCTGCTGACAGCCTCCCCCCTGGGTACGGCGTTCCAGCCAGTGCACGCTTAAGGCTAGCCACTGAGTGCACGCACCCCAACAGCTGGAGGGAGACATGCATGGTGGTAGGTGTGTCGGTGGGTCCGGGTCTTAAGTTAGACCAAAGGGCGGGATTGGATTGGATTGGAGCGGAGGGAGGGCCTGGCTCTGGGCGAGGGGATGGGGGGATTTGGTTGGGGGGGTGGGAGTAGGAGTCAGCTCCAACTCAGGAAGCACGCGGCTGTCGTGGGGAGTGAGGAGCAGAATGTGTGCTTCCTGAGCAGTTGGAGCTGGTGCGGTCCTGGGACTCCTCCTCCCCCTTCTCCCCCCCAACAGGCAGGCAGCAGGGGAAGGAAGTTGCTGGTGTGCCACATACATAGCTGTTCAGGAAACACGCCAGCTGTTTGGGGGAGGGGGAAGCAGTGCACATGCTGCACGCGGCTGTCGTGGGGAGTGAGGAGCAGAATGTGTGCTTCCTGAGCAGTTGGAGCTGGTGCGGTCCTGGGACTCCTCCTCCCCCTTCTCCCCCCCAACAGGCAGGCAGCAGGGGAAGGAAGTTGCTGGTGTGCCACATACATAGCTGTTCAGGAAACACGCCAGCTGTTTGGGGGAGGGGGAAGCAGTGCACATGCTTACTGAGACCCTAGACCTGGCGTGCAGCTGTAGGATCCCCAGGTACTGGCCCCAGTTGTCCCTAAATAACTTTTCTTTATCCGCCCTCTCCACACCACTTATGATTTTATATACCTCTATCTTATCCCCCTCAGTCTCCTCTTTTCTAAATTGAAAAGTCAGTCCTTGATCCTCAGTCCTATCTAGTTCCATGGGACTAGAGTGCCAGGGGAATGAGATGTCTCAGTTGGGGCCACATCAGTGAGGCTTGGTTTTTTTTTTGGAGGGGTTGCTTTTTGGCATCTCACTCGTGTGGTCCTCCAATTGATTTTTCTGTGGGCCAGTGGTCCTTGACCTAAAACAGGTTCCCCGCCTCTCCCATAAATTAAGACAACGCTGAAATGTTTTGTTTTGGACATAATATTTTATTTTAAAAAAAATGAAGCTTGGCCAACAAACCGCCAATTGGGGCCATGCCTGCATCTGGCCGCAGAATCATAACACTCCTGCACACACACCCAGACCTGAAACCTAGCCACGCCTGCATCTGGCCGCAGAATCATAACACTCCTGCACACACACCCAGACCTGAAACCTGAGCCTATCATACACTGGAACTCCCTGTCCTGAGCTTCTCATATCCCAAACTTCTGCACCCCCACATCCCCAGTCTTCTGCCACAAGATTGCTACACCAACCGCTCACTGCAAATCTGTGTCCTGGGCCCGTGATACTTCCAGCCTCCCTGCCCTGAACCCCTCATACAGCCCAACCCAAACTTGTGCACCCGCACATCTGCCAGCCTGCGGTTTGCTCAGCACCCAACCCTCCACCTGACCCCAACACTCTCCAGCCTGGAGCCCCCTCCCTGAGCCAGCATCCCCTTCTCTACTTTCTCCTGCACCCAAATTCCCTCCCAGCGCTTGCACCTCTCACCCCTTCCCACACCCAAATCCCTAATTCCCATCCCAAAGCCCGCACCTCCTGTTTCAATCTAGTGAGAGTGGCTCTTGTCCGAAATTTCCTGTACTGTTATTTTCATCGCTATATTTTGTGTACTATATATATCTGCATAACCTAAATGAATTGCATGCACCTCTTTTCCTGGAGCGACTGGGACACGTGGTTTTAGACTCAACAACTTCGCCCCCGGAGTACCGGCACCTATATAGGTAGATATATAAAAATAAATATATAATATGTGGTTCTTTGCACTCTATCCACCGCTATTTTAGATCGTCATCTCTAATGGGAATATTCTCATCAACCAAGGAAACCTGCAATATCATTTAGGTAAGTTTGAACTAAGATCGTGGCGGGCAACCTGTGGCCCTTCAGGTTAATCTGATTACAGGCCACGACAGATTTTGCTAGCATTGACTGTGCGCACCACCCCTATAGCATTCCGTGGATGCCCTTCTCTGTTCTTGGCCAATAGGAGCTGTGATGTGTGGTGCCTGCAAATGATCAACATCAGCAACATCAAATTACTTTGGGCCACATTTGTCCTGCAGATTGCCCACCACAACACTAAGACCAGTCAGAGAAGAATTTCATTTATTTCTGATTGCAGTATGGTTCTTTGGTACAGCAAGAAACCTCCTTTTCCTAAGGATCTCTGGCCTACCTATATTGTCATCCCACAGGTATTCTGGGGAAAGTATTTTAGTTGGTTTGTGGTAAACAAAATACTTGTTTAAGTGACTCTCTTCTTGCCATACTGCCTCAATTCCATTGTCTTTGTCCACCATGATGGCTTCATGGCATTTCTTGGTCAGCTTGTAAATCTCCTTTACTGTTCCTCCAAAAAATGCTCCCATATAGTAGAAGTCACCCTCATCATGGGGCACATAAGCTTGAGAAACAGGTCGACGTTCACAGGAGAAAGACTGACGCTCTGCAGCATAGAATCCTGGGTGTAGTGTGCCAAACAAGTTGCTCAGGATTTCTACTCCAACTTGGTCATTAAACCTCATGTCTATATCAACACACACAAGGTAGTCGACCTCATTAATGAACTGATTCTGAGAAAAGTGGTTGATCATTTCCATGCGTCGCATAGAGATTTCTTGCCACCTCGAGTAGTTTTGGACTTTCAGAACTACTACGTTCCTTCCTTCTTTGAGCTCAACTTTAGGAACTTCTTGTGGTCTGTCTGTGAAAATGTAATAGTTCACCTTATATCCAACCATAAAATACATCTCTGCGGTTTCTAAAAATTTCTGGAGGAACACGACATACCTACCAAAAAAAAAAAGAAATTATTAGAAATAAAAGGCATGGTGGAGAAGACTGGAAGAAGGGGCAGAGCTATACTGCATCATGAAGATGAGGATGAAAATTCTGAACATAGTGTGCAACAGGATAAGAGGCGGTGAAAGAACTGACAGGGCTGGTGACTTGGCTGGACTCACTAGAAGGATCTAGGATTTAGCTGTTGTTATTTAGGGAGGGAAAGATGAACCAATTGAAAGCACTTACTGATGATCAAAGCTGTGTAAATGTCTGTTGTTTTGTCCTTAAAAAAAAACCAATTAATATAAGATTTCTCTTAAGAAGTAACAAATCACTGTGACACCACCTAAAAGGCTTTGCTGCAAGCAGGAATTGATAATGCTCATGCACATCAAAAATAACTTTTATATTTTAATCAGAAACAATGTTTTAAAAAATATTTGTTGCGAGTTTCCTGGTGAGGATTACTTCCTTCCAAACCCTGGTGATAATCAACCTTCATCTCTTGAGCCACATTCAGCTCTCCAAAGCATTGTACATGACTCTGATGGAGTCTGTGCTACAGGAGCTAGTGAGATCTTAGATACTGTGCTGATTACATGAGTGCTCTGCCCATGAATACATGTGGAAGTGCCAAGAAATGAAGCACAGACACCATGGCGCTCTATCCTTCCCAACAGCCAGGAAGGGAGTCTACCTGAGAAAAATGAAGAGCTGACATGTACCCTGTCTGTATCTGAACCAAGTGTTACAAGAACTCCCCACCATGTAGCCAGTAATGAGCCAAGATCTCTGGCAGTAATTTGACATCAATGTCTGGGAGGCTGGGAAACAGCCAGAGCACTAGGACCACCAGCACTCAGAAGCCTTATCCTGCTTTTATACTGGAGAGAGCCAGCAAAGGAACCTCTAAAACATCCATCAAAACCCCTCATGGGCCAGGTGAGGCATCACTATCTTTCAGAATTCAACTCACACCCAATAGGAGTGAGGGAGCTTTACAGTTACACTGCAAATATCCAATCCCCCTGTCACGTTGCTGAATTGGAGGGAAGCAGCCAGATCGCTGCTGCACCCCTAGGTGGGGGTGTTGGCCCCAGAAATTGGTGTGGGGGGAGCCATGTGGGGTATTGAATGGGAGCTTATTGTTTGTTAATCTTATGTACACTATTTATGTGATTGTATAATGTCTATGTGTGTAGGTAGGAATCTGTAA